GCTACGCGTGAGTCTTGGTGTACACATGCAAGTATTTCTGTACAACAGTGGGTGAGCTGGATCAAAGCCATGTGCCTTTAATGTTCTGATAGATGCCCAGTGGCACATTTTTATTCTTTCAGCAGGTATCCCACCATAACAGTTAGCGTAGTATATAGTCCACATAAAATATCCTCAGTCAATATGAATTGTCCTTGAAAGGGGCATTCGATGGGTAAAAATAACCAGCACTTATTTGGAGTCACTGCTAGAAAAGAAGCAGTGAATTCATTCTTATGTGAATTCATTCCTATCTGAATCTCCCTAGTGTTTAGAATGTAATGGATTTCCATGTGTGTTGAATAAAAGAAACGCATGATATCTAAAGCAATGAGTACTTTCTGATGTGATCATAAGTGGCTACCCAGGTCAGTCCCTAAGAGAAGGTTGAAAAATGTTTGCTTAAAAAATATATAGCTTATGGTTGATTTTGGAAAAATAAAATACAGGATAAAAAATCCTTTATAATCTCAACCACTTTGGAACCACCACTTTCTTATATTTTGGTATTTATGCTTAAGTTTCCTTTCCTATATATTTTGTCCATAGTTGTTATCATATTGTATATAACTTCAAACATATGTCAAGCTCTAGCAGTATTTGTAAGAGCAAAACTTTGACCTTCTCAGGGACTACTTTTGAAGGAAACATCACTTATTTAAAAGGATTACTCTGGACATGCTTAAACCTGTGTTTAAACATGGCTGTCATTACTCTGTTGTAGAGCCTGGAATGAGGCAACTTACTCATTCATTTACTAATCAGATATATATTTATATGCATATATATACATATTTATCACTTACCATGTGCCTGGCCCTGTACTAACATTGGGGATTTATTTGTAAATAAGACACCAGCTTGTAACAAGCTTTGTGAAGGAAATAAACAAGGTGACATGTTAGGGAGTACATAGAGAAGGGGCTTCTTCTGATGGGAAAGTTGGCTCTGAAGGGGCAACACTTGACCTTATGCCTGAAGGATAAGAGTGAACTGTCATGAAGTGCCAGAGTTGAGGCACTCCAGCCTCAGAGAAGAGCATGTGTAAGGGTTCTGGACTGGCCAAGGACTCAGCTTGTCTGTATACCACAAAGTAGACTCATGCAGCTAGAACCAAGGGAGGGCAATTGGGATGGGGTCATGGTGGGGGTGGGCTGAAGAGAGAGTGATGTGACTGAGCTTAGGTTTTAAAAACATGGTTCAAGGCAACAAATTTGGATGCATAGTTCTCCAAAAAGATATACAAAAAAAAGATGTACAAAAAGATATATTAATAAGTGCATGAAAATTTGCCTTGATATCATTATGAAAATGCAAATTATGGCCCTGGCTGGTGTAGCTCAGTGGATTGAGTACAGGCCTGCGAACCAGAGGATTGCAGTTCAATTCCCAGTCAGGGAACATGCCTGGGTTGCAGGCCAGTTCCCTGCAGGCTATTTCCCAGCAGGGGACGCACTAGAGGCAACCATACATTGATGTTTCTCTCTCTCTCTCCTTCCCCTCTAAAGATAAATAAATAAAATCTTACCAAAAAATGCAAATCAAAGCTGCAATGAGAAACTAGTTCACACCCACTGGATATGATTTTAAAAAAAAGGACGGGTGTTGGCAAGTGTTGGAGAGGAGAGGGTTTTGGATGCTCATCATTGCTGATGGGGTTGTAATATGGTGCAGCTGCTGTGGAAAACATTTTGGAAAATATTCCCTGGAAATGTTAAAAACGGAGTGACGTACTCAAGAGAACTGAATACATGTATGTGTCCAGTGCTATTCACAAGGAGAAGCAACCTAGATGTCTATCAATGATATAAATGCATTAAAAATGTTACATGTGGGCCCTGGCTGGTGTAGCTCAGTAGATTGAGCGTAGGCTGCGAACCAGTGTCGCTGGCTTGATTCCCAGTCAGGGCACAGGCCTGGGTTGCAGGCCAGGTCCCCAGTGGGGAGGCAACCACACATTGATGTTTCTCTCCCTCTCTCCTTCCCTTCCCCTCTCTCTAAAAATAAATAAATAAAATCTTTAAAGAAAAATGTGACATGTGCATACAATGGGACATTATTGAATAGCAAAAAGGCATGAGCACTGACATATGCTACAACACAGATGGCCCTAGAAAGAAGCCGGTCACAAAACTCCACATGTTGTGTTATTTCATTTATATGAAATACCCACAATAGGCAAACCCACAGAGATAGACTGGTGGGTTCCTAAGGATAAGGGCAGAATGGGGAGTAACTGCTATGGAGACAGGGTTGATTTGGGGGGAGGTGAAAGTGTTCTGAGATTGGTGATTGTTGTAAAACTTTGTAAAGTCATTGAATTATATACTTAAAATGGTTTGCTCTCATGGTGTGGGAATTACATCTTAATGGAACTGTCTCAAAAAGTCAGTCTACGCAATTTAACGAAAGAAACAAACTATTCGTACATTTAAGAACTTGAATGCAGCCCCAAAATAATGTTACTGGATGAAGGAATCCAATCAAAAAAGAATATATGCTCTATGGTTTTGTTTACATAAAATTCTAGAAAATGCATTCTAATTTATGGTGGTAGAAAGCAGGTCAGTGGTTCTGGGACCCAGGAGGGGAGGGGTGGGCCAGGAGAGATAACAAAGGGGTGCTGGGAAACTTTGGGGACTGACAGATGTGTTTATTATCTTGATTGTGGTGGTCTGTATTTCACAAATGTGGGCACCATAGTGTGCCTTTGTAATGTGTGTAGTTTATTGCATGTGAGTTACACTGTTAATGAACCCAGCCAGTAGAGGGGTCTTACTGCTTGCTGCCTACCACGAAAATCTCCAAAGATGGAATTCAGTGGAAAAGAAAGGAATCTTATTTAATGGCAACTTTCTGCCTAAAATATCTGGGTAACAACAGTAAGGGGAAAGAAAAAGTCAGAGTATGACATAAAAAATAGTCTCACTATGACCACTACATAGGTTCAAGAATTGAAAATAACACAAGAACAAACAATTCTTTGGCAATAACTGTGAGCTTCTGCCTCAAAGCCCATTCCCTCTAAGACACCTAAAGAAAAGTCACTGTCACCATCTGCTGGCTCAGTTCAAGGTTGCATCAGGAACCTCCTCTTCTCCCGCAGAAGTTTGAGGAATGCAGGTGGCTTAGCTGGTCTCCAGTTGCTGTCCAGCTTCAGCCATCTTCCAGAGTCTGTGTCCCCAGGCCTCCATGTACAGGCCTGCACTGGGCATTATTGATAGGCATTCTGGAGACCGTTGACAAGTCTCCCACCAGGAGAGGGGAAAGAACCAAGTGCCCTTTTGCTTTCTGTCACACTCTTTCAAAAGTCCTTTCCTAGAATCCCATGTGCACCAAAAGCCAGTGGGAATGTCCAGCCTTCCAACCAAGGAGGGCCAGTGTTGGCCATGGTGACCTTTGTCCCTCTTCCTGCCACTATGTTTAGGGGGCCAAGTCTGCTGTCACTCATGTGCAGCTCAACCCACCCTCCATTTCTGGGTGTGTGTGTGTTCTTCCCTCCTCCCTATCACAGTACCTCAGGAAAGCTGAAAACAATTAGTCTAGGTGCTGAGTGGAGAGTGGCTTGGTGGGGGCGGAGTTGGAGGCTGGAGAGCAAGTCCGAAGTGTTTGCAGGGAGAGGTGCTGTGTGCTGGGTTGGATGACAGCCATGGACAGCAGGTGACAGGTTGAAACATGCCTTGGAAAGAGAACCCACAGATTGAAGTGGAAGGAAGTTAGGAAAAAGGGTAATTTTTAGTTATTTTTATTTAATTCACAAGAGCAGTCAGATATATGTAATAGTGCCATTAGCTGAGGAGGACAAGTTTTGGGGGTTGGGAGAACCATGTGTTTCATTTTGGAAAGGCTGAATCTGTGATGCCAGTGTGATGTCCTAGTGGGAATATTTAACAGGCCATGGAGGATGTAAACCCGGAGTTCAGGGAAGGTGTAAGGCATTAGATAGTATGTATTGGTCTCTGGTCCTGGTGTCCGGCACAGACTTCGGAAAACCTTGTGACTTCCGAGTGACAAGAGCATGAGGAGCATCTCTTGTTTTGATGGGGTGACTCTGGGTGCCTCCTGGGTAGGGCTGGTCATTAGAGAGACCAAGCCCTGGTTAGAAGCTTGGGATTGTCCCTTCTGAGCACACCTGGATGGCCAGCTCTCCTGAGAGGCCAGGCTTCAGTGTGGGTGGGAGGTGGAAGCACGAGAAGGAGAGGCCACAGGTCCAGGGCACTGACGCAGCAGTGTGGGGGCGGGCAGCAAGGTTGTCACAGGCACATGCTTTCTGATGATTCTCATAGAACTAATTTACCAATGAGAAAAGGAACGAGGAGAATCTTTCACAGGCTTGAGTTGATGAGCCAGTTGTCCCAGGGGCCACACTGGCTTTATGAGACCTCCGGGCCCACAAGGATGCGTTGTTGAGTGACTGGGGCCCTTGAGGCTATGGGGAGAAGTGGGCTCCTGGGCGGCCCTTCAAGGTGAGCTCCCACATTGAACATGGAAACACAGATCAGTGGAAGGGGTGCACCTCAGCAGAGCCACATCTGTCTTAACAGGAGTCCCAGTGTCGGGGGCTTAGCCAGGTGTGTCAAGGCTCCTCCTCACTGTTTCCCCTGACAGCAGGCTTCGCCAGACACAGACCGTCTTCAGGGTTTCCTTCTCCCTCCATAACCTGCTCTGCATTCTTTGAATGCCTCTCTTACAAATGCTTCTGTCTCAGTATTTTCCTGTTTAGATCCTAGGATGGGCATCCAATTAGCCCCGCTAATCTTTTGGGTCTGGCCTTGCAGAATTGCCATACGTCAAGCCCACCCCTGAGCTGGTAGCCTGGGCCGGGGGTGGGGTCCCATATGGGTGCCCTGAGCAGTGGGTCAATGCCTTCCAGGTGGTGGGTGGGCGTGGTGCAGCAAATCAAAGGGCAGGGTGAGGGCAGGGATGTGGCTTCCAGGCTTATTCTCCTTCCTCTCCCACAGCACTGATATCTCCATGTGCACGAGCCCCATCAAGATGTACAAGTACTGTTCCTATGAGGTGAGCTGTGCACTTTCTTGCAGAGAGTTTGGTGCTTTGCTCATCTCACTTTACTTCATGGGTCGTAGGTAAGGGGTGCTGGCTCTCTACATACCCAGCAAGAAGGGCGTTGAAACCCCTCACAGCTGCCACTGGCTGGGGTGAATTTGTTTCCGCCTCCTCTCCCATTGATCCCTCCTGTTTCTGTGCCAGGGTCTCCTTCCCTAACAACCTTCCCCAGTGCCAGTCCAAAATTCTGCTACGTTGTCTGGATGGAGCCCAGTGAAGGTGACAGGCTCTCTGGAGAGGGTGACCATCCACGTTTCAGTGCAGTGTCATTTGTGAAGGACGGGACAAGAAGAGAAAATGCCTGTGGAAGGACTGGAGACAACCCAGACTCACATTAGAATGCATGAATTTATTTACACAAAAAGTCATACAAAGGTGAGGACTTCTGCCAAGATGGAGATGCCGTGCTTCCTCACACAACCAAGTTTAGAGACAACTAAATATTAGCAACAGAAAACACAGCTGGAACACAGAAAATTGAACTTTTTGTAAGTCTGATAACAAAAATTCTTCAGCCTGACTGGTAAGAGGGGTGAAACCAGCAGCTGGCAGAGCGGGGTAGCACAGGAAAACTCCGTCAGACGGACTCAGGCGCGCGGAATCCAGGCGCAGGGTTGGACCTGGTGGGCAACTCAGCAAGCAATCGCGGGGAAACAGCGAGGGAGCAGGGCTGTGGGTTGACTGTGGTCACGTATTCGTGTGTGAATAGACAAGCGAGGGAGTGGGCGATTGGATGAGAGCCAGCAGCCCCAGCGGCAAGCGGTGGTGGAGGGCACCGCCACATCCCCGCTCTAACCCCGCCTCCACATATAGCGTCATAATCCAGCGACCTAAGTGGCCCTGCCCCTGTGAACAACCTAAGGCTACCTAAGGCTCTGCTCGTCACCCAGCTGCAAGAAATAGCCGAGGGGGCCGCCATTTCCCTGCTCTGACCCCTCCTCCACACATAGAGTCACAACCCAATGACCTGGGAGTCCAAGGCTCCCCTCCTCGTTACGGGCGTGAACAGAACAAAAATGGCTCAAGAAGATCTCAAAGCCCCAGAGCCTATAAATCTAAGTGATGAAGAAATAGCAAAACTTTCAGATGCACAGTTTAAAACACTGGTGACCAGGATCCTCACAGAACTGGTTGATTATAGCCACAAATTAGACAAACATATGAAGGCGAAACTAATTGAAATGAATGGAATTACACAGGACACCAATAGCAATGAAAAGGAAACTGGGACTCAAATCAATGGAGTGGACCAGAAGAAAGCAAATAATGGACAAACAGAAAAGAGTGAAGAAACAAGAATTCAAAAAAATGAGGAGAGGCTTAGGAACCTCCAGGACATCTTTAAACACTCCAACATCTGAATTATAGGGGTACCAGAAGGGGGAAAGGCACAGCCACCAGTGGAAAACTTATTTGAACAAATAATAAAGGAGAACTTCCCCAATCTGGCAAAGGAAATAGACTTCCAGGAAATCCAGGAAGCTCAGAGAGTCCCAAAGAAGTCAGACCCAAGAAGAAACACACCAAGGCACATCATCATTACATTAGCTAAGATTAAAATGAAGGAGAGAATCCTAGAAGCAGCAAGAGATAAGGGGACAGTCACCTACAAAGAAGTCCCCATCAGACTGTCAGCAGATTTCTCAAAAGAGACCTTACAGGCAAGAAGGGGCTGGAAAGAGGTATTCCAAGTCATGAAATCCAAAGACCTACAGCCAAGATTGCTCTATCCAGCAAAACTTTCATTTAGTATGGAAGGGCAGATAAAGTGCTTCTCAGATAAGCTCAAATTCGAGGAGTTCATCATCACCAAGCCCTTATTATATGAAATGTTAAAGGGACTTATCTAAGAAAAAGAAGTTAAAGAAACACGAACAGTGAAAGGACAGCAAACTCACAGTTATTAACAACCACACCTAAAACAAAAGCAAACTAAAAGGACAGCTAGATCAGGAGTGGAAACAGAAATGAAGATCTCAAGGAGGGTTAGCAACAGGGGAGTGGGAGGAGGAGAAGCGGGGAGAAGGTACAGAAAATAAGTAGCATAGACAGTAGATAGAAAATAGATGGGGGGAAGGCAAGAATAGTATGGGAAATATAGAATCTAAAGAACTTGAGACACATGGTCATAAACTAAAGGGGGAGTAATGGTGGGGATGGGGGGTAGGGTGGAGGGGAATGAAGGGGGGGAATAGAACAACTGTAACAGCATAATCAATAAAAAAAATTTTTAAATCTTTAAAAAGTCTTACAAAGATGAAATACTTGAGTTTTGCTACATACCTGCTCTATCTTTATTGAAAATATTAGAATTGCATGAAAGTGAAACTTTTCTGGAAATTTAAAACCTGTGGTTGACTAGACCAGAGGGAATGTCTGTTGCCCAGGAGGTGGGTATTCACACCAGAGGTGGGTCCAGGGCCTGGCCCATCCTGAGGAAGTTCAAGCAGCCCTTGCCAAACCCAGGGTCAATGGCTCAATGGCTTGGTCATTGGCTCCCTGGTCAATGGCTCGGCTCAGCCCTCCAGCAGGAGTTCTTGTGAGTGTCTCCACATTACCTGTCTTCTCTCCAACTCCGTATTAGAAGCAAAATGTACATAGTCAGCCAGCATTTGGTGACTTCTCTGTGCTCTCAGTGGACTGGGAACTCGCACTTACTGAGCAGTTATTGTGGTGTCATGTACAGTGCTTGGCCCCCACCATTTCATTGCATGCTCACAGCACCCCACTTTGTGGTCATGGTTATCCTTACACCCTTACATGTGAGAAACATGAGTTTAGTTAAACTCAGGGGAATTAATAACTTCCCCAAATTCAGTAAGTGTGGCGTTAGGACTGAGGGCCAGGTCCACTATTTCTAGTAGAGAAGTGACCCAAAGTCAGGCCCCCAGGCCAGCAGGATATGCACACCCAGGATACTTTAACAGAAGTGGGTATTTTCTGGCCTCTCCCTAGACCAGGGGTGTCCAATCTGCAGCCTGTGGGTCACATGCAGCTCAGGGTGACTGTGAATGTCACCCAACACAACATTGTAAATTTACTTAACATTATAAGATTTTTTTGTGGTTATGTGTTAGAATGTATTTAATGTGTGGCCCAAGACAATTCTTCCAGTGTGGCCTAGAGACACCAAAAGGTTGGATACCCCTGCAACCTTCTGAATTAGAATCTCTGGGAGTGTCTGAGTGTATTTAAGCAAGCCTACCAGGTACACTCTTAATTTTGAGAACTGCTGGGCTAGAGTAACTGTTTCATTAGGGGTTGTACCAGGAATCAGGATGCTTATCTAGTGCTTATTGGGGTAAGATTGACAAGGTGGCTGCCAGTCACCCATTCCATGGATTTAAGTATCATCTGTATGCCTGCCACCTACCCTGTGTAGCCTCAGCGCAGGACTCTCCTCTGAATTCCAGGCAGCTCAACCCTGTCATATCCATCCCTGTCGCTGCTCTTCCCATCCTGCTCCTCCCAGGCTAGAAGCCAGGGCTGTCCGAGTTACATCCTCTGACCCCTCACCTCTAGCACGTCAACAAGTCATAGTTCCTGTTGTCCCGTTTCTGATATTTGGCATCTGTCTGCTTCTCCCTCTCCTTATTGCCACCACCTCAGCATTTCTTTCCAGAACCAAGACAGCCTCCTGAACTGCCTTCCTTTCAGTCCTGCATAGGAAGTCCCACAGGAGGTCTTCACAAGCAGATCATGTCAGTCTCCTACCTTAAAACATTTTAATGGTTTCCTACTGCACTTAAAATAGGATTAAAGGAAGTGTATACATGCAATACACATGCACACATACACATTCTCCTTTCCATAACCTACAAGGTCCTGCCTCACCCATCTCACCCATCCCAGGGTCCTGTCCTCTCCCTTCTCGATGCTTCGTGCTCCTCCACTTCTGAGCATACAGCTCATTCTTGCTGTCTGCCCTTGCACATGCTGGCCTCTGCCTGCTTGGTTTTATCCTCTTCATTCACTGGGCCTCAGCCCAGCAGCCTCCCCACAACGTCTGACCATATTTAAAATACATTCTTCCTCCACCTTGTTGTTCCACCTTTCAGACCTTTGTTTCCTGCACAACACTTGCCACGTTTTGAAATGAGTGTATTTCTTTGTCTGGGTCTTGTCATCTGTTTGTCTTGTCCACTAAACTGCAAGATTCATGAGGGCAGGGACTATGACTGTCTTGCTTACTACTGATACCAGTGCCTAGCACAGGTCCTGCCATGTTGTAAGGACTCAGTATTTGTTGTTGGATGAATAGAGTTATTTGTTCAACAGAGTTATCAAACATCTTTCTGTAATAATGTTTGCCATTTAGTTAATGCTTTTATTTTATTTTTTAAAAATATGTTATTTGTGTATTTTTAGAGAGGGGGAGGGAAGGAGAAAGAGAGGGTGAGAAACATCCATGTGGGAGAGAAACATAGATCAGTTGCCTCTTGCATGTGCCCCGACGGGGGACCAAACCCAGGACATTTGCTATGCAAGACATTGTGCAACCAACTGAGCCACAGCATTCAGGGCTGGTCAGAGCTTTTACTGTGGTAAGTGCTGTACTGGTAGTATTGTCTTTAGGGCTTATAGCATCTCTCTGCAAAACAGAAATGCAGTTGACCCTTGGCAAACATGGGGATAAGGAGCACCAACTCCCTACCCCCGCAGCTGAAAATTTGCATATAACTTTTTAAAATATATTTTATTAATTATGCCATTACAGTTGTTCTATTTCCCCCTTCATTCCCCTCCACCCTGCACACCCCCTCTTCCCCCATTCCCCCCCTTTAGTTTATGACCACGTGTCTCAAGTTCTTTAGGTTCTATATTTCCCATACTATTTTTGCCTTCCCCCCATCTATTTTCTACTTAGCATCTATGCTACTTATTTTCTGTGCCTTCTCTCCCCTTCTCCTGCTCCCACTCCCCTGTTGCTAAACCCTCCATGTGATCTTCATTTCTATGGTTATGCTCCTGATCTAGCTGTCCTCTTGGTTTGCTTTTGTTTTAGGTGTGGTTCTTAATAACTGTGAGTTTGCTGTCCTTTCACTGTTCATGTTTCTTTAACTTCTTTTTCATAGATAAGTCCCTTTAACATTTCATGTAATAAGGGCTTGGCGATGATGAACTCCTTCAACTTCACCTTATCTGAGAAGCACTTTATCTGTCCTTCCATGCTGAATGAAAGCTTTGCTGGATAGAGCAATCTTGGCTGTAGGTCTTTGGATTTCATGACTTGGAATACCTCTTTCCAGCCCCTTCTTGCCTGTAAGGTCTCTTTTGAGAAATCTGCTGACAGTCTGATGGGGACTTCTTTGTAGGTGACTGTCCCCTTATCTCTTGCTGCTTCTAGGATTCTCTCCTTCATTTTAATCTTAGCTAATGTAATGATGATGTGCCTTGGTGTGTTTCTTCTTGGGTCCGACTTCTTTGGGACTCTCTGAGCTTCCTGGATTTCCTGGAAGTCTATTGCCTTTGCCAGATTGGGGAAGTTCTCCTTTATTATTTGTTCAAATAAGTTTTCCACTGATGGCTGTTCCTCTTCCCCTTCTGGTACCCCTATAATTCGGATGTTGGAACGTTTAAAGATGTCCTGAAGTTTCCTAAGCCTCTTCTCATTTTTTTGAATTCTTGTTTCTTCATCCTTTTCTGTTTGGTCATTTTTTTCCTCCTTCTGGTCCACTCCTTTGATTTGAGTCCCAGTTTCCTTTCCATTACTATTGGTTTCCTGTGTATTTCCCTTCATTTCAATTAGTTTAGCTTCCATATGTTCCTTTAATTTGTGACTAAAATGAACCAGTTCTGTGAGCATCCTGATCACCAGTGTTTTGAACTGTGCATCTGATAGGTTGGCTATTTCTTGGTTGCTTAGAGTTATAGGCTCTGGGGCTCTGAGTTGTTCTTGAGCCATGTTTTGATCTGTTTGTGCCTGTTACATATGAGGAGCAGAGCCTTAGTTGTTCACCAGGGCGGGGCCACCCAGGTCGCTGGTTTGTGACACTGTATGTGGGGACAGGGTCAGAGAGGGACAATGGTGGTTTCCTCTGCCGCTTCCTGCTGCTGGGGCCTGCGCAGTCCGTCTCACCACCGCTAGCTCCTTCACCAGTTTATCTGCATACAAATGTGTGACCACGGTCTACCCACAATGGGTCCTCCGCCTTGCATTCTCAGTGGGTCTTCCCGCTTCTCCACACCTGGGATCCACCCACAGCTGCTGGTGCTCCTGGGTTGTGCGCCCAGGTCAGTCCGGTGGATCTTTCCTGCCTGATCCCACTCTGCTGCTGGCTCTGCCCCTCTAACCGGTTTGGCTGAAGGGTTTGTTGTTGTCAGACTTCCGTGTAGTTCAATTTTCTGTGGTTTGGCTGTGTTTTTGTTGCTAAAACTTTGTTGTTTTTAAATTTGGTTGCGTGAGAAGGCACAGTGCTTCCACCTACGCCTCCATCTTGGCGGAAGTCTGCATATAACTTTTGACTCCCTAAAACTTAAACTGTCCCTTCATACCTGAAGCGGATGGGTTCCAGGATGCCTTCTGCTCTTCTGTGGATACCAAAATCCACAGATGTGCAAGTCCCTGTATAAAATGGCATACAGCAATGCATACAGTTGGCCATTTTTATCCACACACTCACAGCTGCAGATCAAAACCAGTACAGGTGTTCAGTGCAGAGAATCTGCATGTAAGTGGACCTGTGCAAGCCTACATAGTTGAAGAGTCAACAGCACTCTTTTGATCTGTCAGATGGAGACAGAGGCTGAGTGAGGGGCAGCGGCTTTTCTACTGGATCAGTGGTGCTAGGCCCTGGTCTTTGTGTCTTGTGGCCCTGCTCTTAGCCTCTCCTGCCCACAGGGCACTCACTGTTGAGGATTCAGAGCACCATGGCTGTGTGAGAAGAGGGTACCAGTTAGGACTCTTTCATCACAAGCAATATCAACAGCACCGAGCCAACTTAAAACAAAAGTAGAATTTATTAGGAGCATGCTGGTTTGCCCAGAGAATCAAAGGAAAGTTGGAGAAAGCAGGCCTTGAACCAG